ATCATCAGATTGGCGTGCCTCTTGGTAAGCCCTGTTGGCAAGCTCCTTAATGGCTCTCGCAGTGACTTCCGTATCAGTTGGATTACCTGTCAACTGATTGGGATCAGCGTTCTCTGGTGTTATAACATCTCGAGGACGCCTACCAAAGGCCATTTCTAAAGGAGTAACTCCTCCATAGGTAATCGAAGAGTTTCTTGCCAAACATGCTTGTCGAACGAGGTTGCCATACTTCATGGTGATTCCGTTATACTGCGGGTCACCATCCTTCAGGATCTGAAGTATGATCTTAATCTGATGCTTCAGCAATCTTACAGCAGCTTCGGCCCTGTTGGGCCATGGTGTTCCAGGTCCTGTTGCTACAGGCTTGATATTCTGCCGATTGTAATAAGCCTCCATTTTTGGAGTCATGAATGCTTGATCTCCAACTACAACCTTTGGGTTGATCTGAAATTTCTCAAAGTAGTCATTCATAATCGACATTGTAGTATGCTCTTCTTTATCCTGGACTACTTCGGAAGTCAACAGGTTTGTTGCTCCGTCATAGAGAATAAGAAATATTAAGCGACTATTCTTGCCGGGAATTGGAAGCTCACCGTGATCTACGAAGGTGAGATCACCGAAAGTCTCTGATCTTAAACCGGAAATCTTCGCTCTTGAAGGAGCTCTCACGTGTTCCTGACAGGCTGAACACTTTTTGACCAGTTGGTCATATAGCTGATATATCTCCTTTGGGATCTGTAAGGCTTTCGTGCGTCGCTTGAACTGATCCGTACTCATATGACGGTGCTTAAGGTGAAGCTTATAGAGTTCTACAGGGTCCTTAAGCTTCTCATGAATCCTGCGAAGAGCAATGGGAAGAGATGGCGATGGTTCTGCGACAGTCTCTTCACCTGCAGGTGAGTCTGTACCAGAAGCCGGGTATTCTCTTGACTCAAGTGGTCTTACCTTCGTCCCGTCATCAGCTCCTGGGACTGTAGACTTCTCTTCAACAGGAGGTTTGACCGCATATTTGCGGGTTTTCTTCAGAAGGTTTTTGAGACCCTTTGGAGTCTTTGTCTTCGCAGGTGGAACCTCAAGTCTTTCTTCTTCTGGAGGTTCGTGCGGTGCAGATGATTCTGCAGGTTTGTCTCTAGAGCCTGATGATGGTTCCGATGGTTCGGAAGGCTCAGGAGCATCACCAGATGGTTCTGGTGGATCAGGTTTCTTGGCAGATGATTCTGCCGGATCAGATGGAAGAGGCTTCTTCTTACCTGAAATCCTCTTCGGTGGTGGATCAGCTGCTCCCTCAGGTGCCTTGTCGCAACCTTTGAGGTACGTATGAGCCCTTTTCTGTCCTGCGCAGGCTGGACAGCGACCTTCCGGGATCCTAGTATAAGATCTTCCTTCTTCCTTTGGCTTCCTAGCTCCTAGAGCAGTCTCTGTCGCACTGAACGACGTACCTGATTTAGGGAGATACTTCCTGGTGGAAGTGAAGCCTAGAAGGTCCAATACCAAATGGTTATTGGTACTAATCGGAAGAGGGGTTTTATACAAACCGAAAGCTTCACACGTTGCTAGGTCAGCTGTGGGACTACACTCGAGGGTCATTCTTAGATTCCTCATCTGTTCGATGGAGAACAAAATGGGAACTCTCCCCTGATCCAGAACTTCTATGGTTGTATCTCTTCTTGGAGTTGTGTTGAACCATAGAGTTACACGCTCCTTGATAAGAGCTGTTTCACTATCTGCGAAAGAGAACTTCGTGTTCGAAGGTGAGAAAGTGAAATCAATCATGCCTGGGGCACGTTGCTTCACGGCCTTGATAAGCCTGTTCACCGCATAGCGGGAACCCATAGCCCTAGTACAACCTGAGTCAAGTATGACAAAGGTAGGGTTCTTATCAAGATTGATCCGCTCTGTGAGAGCAGATAGGACGGTGTGCTGCAACGGAAACACCGCTGTTGCAGTTTCAACACCTTGCCCCTCGGATGGTTCAAAAACCTGGGGCACGTAACTCACTGATGAGTTGTACACGGGTTCTTGGTGCGCGCTCGGATCTGTGCCTCTACCTGATGATCCTGCTTGATTTCTTCTCTTCTTTCTCCGTGTCTTTCTTCGTGAGGCTTGTGATGCATAGTATGTATAAGACGTTTGATCGTCATAAGCGGCATAATTCCAACTGGAGTCAGTATAATAACTGTCCTCATACCATGAATCCCAGCTCGGTGCGGTGGAACTCTCATAGGCCTGTGGAGATCCAGTTTGGTCTCCTTGTAAGGAGGCAGACTTAGCTGTATCCTTACCTTTGCCTTTTGCCTTTGCGCCTTTGAAGGAGCTTCCTTTATCTCCTTTGTCCTTTCCTTTTCCTTTGCCTTTTCCACCTTTTCCTTTTTCCTTTCCTTTACCTTTACCGAAATAGCTGGAATCAGTTGGATCATGTTCTGCCTGGTTGGCTCTCCCTTTTCCGCGGTATGACCTAAAACGGCCACGTCCTTTTCGCTTGCCACCCTTTGCTCTTCCCGGTGATCCGGGACGCATTCTTGGTCTTCTTCCCTTTTTGAATCTCCTTGCAACGAAGGCCTCATGGTCATCAACTGTCCAGAAGACAGCTTCTTCATCCTCGGCGGCAAGAAAGCCTTCCTCAAGGGTGTCTTCGTCTTGGAGCCAGAATCCATCGACTCCATCGTATTCACCCTGATCGAGGATGAGGAAGTTTCGACCTCCGCGTTTACGGCGTTGGTCTCTCCTTCCATGGCGGTCCTTCTTGTGAGAAGAGTGCCGAATGTTGGGATCCTGCAGACCAGTTCTGGTCGTTGAGAACTGATCGAACATGGTCTGCCGTACCACAGGGTACGTGTAGGTCTCAATTCGGTGACCTTGGTTGGTCAATGCTGTTACCAACCTCTCACGTTGCATCTCATTTAGGTCGGACTGCACTAGGAAGAGGAGAGCTAGGAGATTATCATTTAGAGGAAACGCTCTTCGATGATTATCAAGGCGTTCCTTGTTCCATGTTTCGAAGAAACGTGCGGCGTATGTGTCTCTCTCGGTTGCATCCTGTAGGCGCAAGAAGGTTTGATCTGCCTGCACAGCCTGCATGAAATCTGGATGGGCATCCTCCAGAGCTATCTCTGGTAAGAGATCCATCCATGAGTTTTTCACGCGCTGTAGCACGATCTCAAACTTGGCAATCCAAGTCACAAAGTCTTGGTTGCCCTTCCATGCCTTGAATAGGCCGAGGAAACGCCACAGGAAAACGTACTGTTCTCCTTTCACGAAAAATGGACGCATCTTCTTCTTGAAGTAATCTACTCCATCTGGGGCTGCAAGCCTTTCTCGGTTCAGTGATTCCTTTTGTACTGCGGCCAATCCGGAGAGCCTCGTCTTGAGAGACGGACCTCTTTTGGTGTCATCCAGCGTTGTTATGTCGCACCAGTCGTCAATCAACTGTTCATACTCAAACCACGAGGTGGTGCCATCATAGGCAGGCGCGATCTTGGGCGTTATGCCTAATGATGCAAGCATGCGGTCAGATGTTGCATATGACTGTGCGACATAAGTGGCTGGACCTTGGGAGGTCTCTTCGTTCTCATATCCCCCGGAGGATTGGGAACTGCCGTCGGCTTCGCTATGCGAGCTCGACATTGTGCTGCCTCTTATCCGCTTGGTTAAGCGTTCGGCGAGGCCGACCGCTGTAGCGGACTTTAGGAGGCGGGCGGCCCTTTCCGGGCTCCGCTACCAGAAAACTGTGCCGATACACCCACAAGGAAATGCTCCTTGTTAGGAGGTGTATGACCAGTTTATTCCCTAAGGATCAAAGGGCAGCGCCCTGCACACGGACAGTAGTTGTTTTGTCTTGCTACGCAAGGAGAGCTTGTCTTGTCTCAATATGGTAAAACCACTGTGAGCCAATGGGCAGCGGAATGTATATGTATGAGCATGCAGCCATTGCTGTAGGTACCTGTTAGAGCTACCCCTTTAGAGGTTTACGGAATCACCCCCCCCCGCCCTTCCCCTCCCCTCCCCCCCCCTCCCCCCTCCCTCTCTCTTCTCCCCCTCCGGCCCGTCCTCCCCTCTGCCCTCCTCGCTCGTTTTCCTTTTTTGGTTGCTCACCCTTCCGTCTTGTCCTGTTCGTTTGCGTGCTTCTTTCCTGCTTCCTCGTTGAAGCTCTCGTTTTGATGTTTTGTTCTGGCCCCTTTTCCGTCTTGTCTGCACTTCTTTTGCTTGTTTTCCTTCCTTCCCCCCCTCCCCCTCTTGCTGGCCCCCCCTTCCTCCTCCGGCCGGCCAGTCCACCCTTCCGTGTTGTCCTGCCCTCGCGTGTTTTTTCGACCTTTTCTCCTCTTTCAGCCTGCCCCCCACCGAGCCGGCTCCACTGCCTTTTCTTCTTATGTTTCGTTCGCGTGCTTTGGCTTTTTCGGCCTGCCCCCCCCCGGGCCGGCTCCACTGCCTTTTCTTCTTATGTTTCGTTCGCATGCTTTGGCTCTCCTGCTTCCTCGTTGAAGCTTCCCCCCCCCCGACCCTCCCTCCCTTCCCCGGCCCCCCTCCCCCGGGCCTTCCCCCGGCCCCTTTTCCCACTCTTCCGTCTTGTCCTGCCCTCGCGTGTTTTTTCCATTGCGACTTTTTCGTGCACTTCTTTTTGGCTTGTTTTCTTCCCCCCCCCTCCCCCCCACCCTTCCTCCTCCGGCCCCCCCTTCCTCCTCCGGCTTCCCCTTGTTTTTTGTCTTCTGCCTGCTCGTTTTCTTTCACCTTTTCTTCTCTTTCGGCCTGCCCCCGGCTCCACTGTGGGTTTTGCTGCATGTGTTTGCTCTACACTTGCCACACTTCTCCAAGTAGCCCTGACCCTGCAACTAAATTACACCTGCTTTAAGAGGCCCTTCGCAGTTTGGCCCCTGCTCTGCGCCCCTGCTGGCCCTACTGCAGCCGGCGGCCGAGGCGGGCTGCGTAGCATTAGAATTAGATAAATACAAGTGCATCGCTGAACGTAGCATGAACTCATGTGTAATGCCTGCCCTTCCGGCGTCCTGTTGAAGAAGCTCGAGAAGTTTGCGGTGGTTTCGGACGCCTTCAACATCATCCTCCTGGCAAGGCCTCGTGGACAGAGATGTGGACGCAGCAAGATCTGCTCGGGGCTGCTAACCACTGCTGTGCGCTGCATCGAGCATCCGCAGCCCCAGTTTAAAATCGTTTACCTAAGAACGAAGAGCCGCTGAGTTTCGAGCAGGCCACCCAGCCAAACATTCCACGCTTGAGCCTGTTGTCGTCAGGCAGAACATTAGCACTCCAGTCTCTTCCAGCGTATGCCTGAACGGACGTAATCGCTTGTGGATGGGAGAGCAGGATCTCGACCTCACGCAACAGACTGTGACAGCTGACAAGCCAATACTTGCAGTCTAAGACCGTGGCAAGAGCAGACAGCGCATTGTCTGCGCAAGCCTGAAGGGTACGTTGGCAACACTTTTTGAGAAGTTGCTGATTCAAGAAACGAGCCCCGACCGGCGCACGGTGGCCCGCAGATCGTTCATGGGTATATTTTAGAAACGGACTCAAAATCTGCGGAGGTGTGCTCGAAAGACAAATGGGCTGCCGAAGAAAGAGATCGAGTCAAACGTGTCCGGTCGGATCCGACCGGCTACAGGGATGGCCTCATACGATGCCCGTGAGGAGTACCCTGCACTTTACAAGGTCCGAAACAGACAAAACCTGTTATGCCTTGCCGTTTTGCTTTGTTCGTGATGTGCTGCTTGCGACACGGCTCTTGCTACGCACAATAGCATCTGCACTTTGTGGTCGAGTCAGTTTCTGCTCAGCCGTCTGTGAGGCATACCAAGCGGTGAACCCAAGCGTCGACGCATACGCATCGTACTCTGGATTGCTCCCACAGCCTCTACTTAGATGCAAGCCGAAAGCCCTGCCGTACATATGCAAGTGTGTACGTGTGTGTACGTGATGTATGTGTGTACGCGTGTATGTGTGCATCTATGTGTGCATGTATGTGTGTATGCGTAAGTCGTGTGTATTGTTGTATGTATAAAACAACGTGTACAGACATCTATGTATACAAGTACACAAATGCCCTACATGTGTATCTATGTATACAGATACCTATGTGTGCACACATAAACGCATGCAGGTAGGCCGCATGCATGCATGTAGGGATGGATGCATGCACACACGCACCTTTGCATAGAGAGGCAAATGCTTGTAGGTGTATTGATGTACAAATGTAACTGCGTACCTGTACCTGTGTATCTATGCATCTGTATACACATTAAAGATACATGTACCCAAGATTACATGCTTGTACGGTTGTATGTGCAACAGCGTTTATGCGAATATCTATACAGCTGTACGCATTACAAAGCACATGTGTACATGCAAAAGGATATATATATATAAAGATATGTATGTGCATATCTCTAAATATATACATATACACAGAAAGGTACGCCGTGGAGGGGGAGTGTTGAATACAGCTCTCCATATATATATATATATATATATATATATATATGTACATAAGTACATATGTATTATGTACATGCACATATATACGTAATCTTTGTTTCAATATGATGTAATATAATGTAAGATAGTATAGTATAATATAACACAATATGTCTACAGAAACATATGTAGATGTAGGTATGCGTAGATGTGTGTGTGCAGATGTGTATGCAGGTACGTATGTATGTATGTATGTATGTACACATGTATAAACGTACAAATGCGCATGTCTACGCATCCATGTTTCGATATACATGCCCGCATGTATATACATACGTATATATGTATGTATACATACATGCTATTTCAGCACGTAGGTGTGTATCACGTCATGTGTGTTTCAATGGTTGACAGAAGTACAACTCATTGGAAGAAGTTTCTTCACAGTCTAAATTAAATGCCACAAGAAACACGCAACACACACTGCCGATGAATGAAAGGAGGAAGAAGGGAACGCAGAATATGAGAGCATAACAGAGCAACATATGAGAGGCTGTCAACCATTCTAGTATGCCAAACAATGAAGGCATGGGCTAAACTTGGAGTCAAACAGACGCAAAATCCACAAATTCAATTCGCTTGACAGCTTTGTTGTGGGTCCATTTACTCGTATTTCCTGTTGCCATGGTATTTCACAACACACATGCATGTACGTGGATACATTTTCTATGCCCGTTACGTGTGCGTTTGCTTCTTCTACCTCGCTGAAGTTTCATTGCATCGGTTCCAATCGACGATAATCGACGGCCTTCAGCATTCTCGTCCGACATGCCTGCAAAAACAGCCGCCTGCGCAGCCTTTTCAGACTTCTTCTTGGTCCTTTGCCTTGACTGGGTCACAACCTGCCAGGTTGAAGTTGTCCTGCCTGCATCGTCGAGAATGACAGTCTTGCCTGGGAGAGTTTGTTTGCTGCATCCAGCGCCAGGGGCGCGAAAGCCTTTCAAGCACCATTCAAGACTTGCTTGTTAATCAGGTTGCAGGCATTGCAAGGTGCGTTCGTGATGTCATTTCGCCTGCAACTTTGCTGCGAGCGACACACCATAGCACCTAACCAAACCGCAACGCAAGATGCGCAGAAGAAACAACTACCCTCTGGTTCGAGCACGCCGGTTGACGCAGATCTGCATCCGGGTGCAGGATGTCCTTTCCAGCAGGGCAGTAAAGAGAAAATGCCGGAAGGTCAGCAGAAAGGAGGCTCAAGACCTTCAAGATCAAGCACAAAACTTGCAGCTCTAAGGGTAAACCTGCGGATCCTGTGCATGCTGACACTAAACTCATGAAAGAATTCGACGCACAAACGGCCTGTTTAAGAGCAACAGGAATGCCTCTGTGCAATGAGCTAGCTGGGCCAGCGCTGTTCCTCCTGCCCTCGCGAAAAAATCCAGTGTTCGTCGAGATGCGAAAGCCTTTTAGTGAAGCTTCATTGAATTTTACAAGCTGATGATCCAGTCAGCTTTCACCGGGTTATTAGAACGACTGAGATGCGGATTATGGCAGGTTTGACAAGAGGTGAGGTGCGATTCGCGACCACTGCCTACCAGTTCCAAAGTTAAGCTGTCAATCCAAGCCTCACATAATTCAGGGGTCAGCATTGCCCATATCGTCAGAGGCTTCACTGATTCGTACCGGATTGGACGGCATGCACACGATGCAAATCACAGCATGCGTTGAGAACTATGGTTTTACATCGTAGTTTCCAGGAACATCTGAATCAAACGTGTCGCAGGATGCTGCTGCATGTGTATCAAACTCTTGAAAATCGCAGGTGTATATATGGTAAAACTTATACATACGAAGTGGCAGAAGTCTCCTCGACAATCTTTGGCACAAACTGTGGCCATTGAGCAACAACCTCCAGACAAGTTCTCACAGTGATGCACTGCTCCGCACTTCATACCACACGGCTAGAATCGGAACCAGACCTTGTCACCCAAGTGTTCAAGGAAGTCGCAGATCACGAACCTCAAAAATCGGCAGAACTCGCACTGGACTGTAGCTGGGGAATGACATGCTACAACGGGCATTGCACTCCACACGACGGAAGCAAAGGGACCACGTCGCGGAAGAAAGACTGCCCTCGACATGACAGGTTGTTTCTGCAAATCAAAGCCTAAGCTCCACATGTCAGCTTTCTTCATCTAGCTGCTGTGTTTAACCTGCAAAACAGCGGCGGCCCCCATCTACAATGTTGCGCTCCAGGACAACAGCAGCTTCAATCATCTTATTCTGAGTCTGAGGCAATGCCAGCAGTCTGTCTTCTTTTGCCGAACCAGGTTGGAGCCACTGGACAACCTGGTATGCTTGGGTAACTACGATGTGGCAGGACCACATCTAGTCGCCAAAATATCAATGCCGGCTCTACCAAGGTCAAATAGTCTGAAAAGCTCTCGGCGATAAATATGTCAGCATGGTGCCTCGGCCAGGTCTTTGTGCAAGAGCTCCGTAAACCAAAAACATGCCCGAGGCGTGCGCTGCATCAGTGACCCTGCCACTTCACACATGGATGTTCGAAGTGCCTGCATGAAGTAAAACGATCGGGGAAGATGCGGGAATCGATCGGAAGCCACAGCCTGCTCGTCTTCTTCGTCGTCGTCATCATGGTCCTCTCCATCCTGCACAGCTCTCGTATCGTTGTGAGTTTGCCGGGCTTGCCATACCTCGTGGTGCAGAAACGAACGTCACACCTCGTCTTGCTGTGCTTGCTGTGCTGGCCTGCCCTCGCCAGGGGACCAGACAAGGTTTCGATGGTTTTGGCTGCACTTGCCCGCAGGCCTTAGCTGCCTCGGAGCGCCGCTTCAGCGACTCGGCAAGGGCACTAAGCGTTGTGCGGCCTCAAGAGAGCTGAAGCTTCCATGAAAGCAGCTCGTGGCTGCTGTTCAGCCTTTCACGGAGACACGACCACGGGATTCCCGAAGCTCCGGACAAATATGCCGCAACTGCTCGGCGTGGAGGATTCCGGGACCAGCTTCCCTGCAGTTCACGCACATGCTGTGGATGTTAGAGGAAACGGCGACATGGTGCACCTCAGGCAAGCAGTCATTCCGTCAGCGCTTGTCTTGAGTTCGGCCACATCCACCTGTGGACACGCATTTTCACGCGAGCTCATCGCTTTTCTGATTGTAAACAGCCCACTCGTATAAAGAGGTTCTCAGCGGGTGGTTTGTGGTTTTGGGCCCGTAATTGAAACTCAGGAAAATTATGAGGGGTTTCCGGGACTGTATTGGTTCGACTGGAACCACTACCATCAGTAGGCTATTGATAATCCGAACTGGGAGGAGTACAGCAAGGACTTGTGATACCAGTGGCCACGTTCCACAACTCGTGTGTGCTGGGATTGGTACCGCAACAAACAAGTAGTACTTAGTAGTGGTAGTAGTAGTAGCAGTAGCAGTAGCAGTAGCAGTAGCAGTAGCAGTAGTAGTAGCAGTAGCAGTAGCAGTAGCAGTAGCAGTAGTAGTAGCAGTAGCAGTAGCAGTAGCAGTAGCAGTAGCAGTAGCAGTAGCAGTAGCAGTAGCAGTAGCAGTAGCAGTAGCAGTAGCAGTAGCAGTAGCAGTAGCAGTAGTAGCAGTAGCAGTAGCAGTAGCAGTAGCAGTAGCAGTAGCAGCAGTAGCAGTAGCAGTAGCAGCAGTAGCAGTAGCAGTAGCAGTAGCAGTAGCAGTAGCAGTAGCAGTAGCAGTAGCAGTAGCAGTAGCAGTAGCAGTAGCAGTAGCAGTAGCAGTAGCAGTAGCAGTAGCAGTAGCAGTAGCAGTAGCAGTAGCAGTAGCAGTAGCAGTAGCAGTAGCAGTAGCAGTAGCAGTAGCAGTAGCAGTAGCAGTAGCAGTAGCAGTAGCAGTAGCCGTAGCAGTAGCCGTAGCAGTAGCAGTAGCAGTAGCAGTAGCAGTAGCAGTAGCAGTAGCAGTAGCAGTAGCAGTAGCAGTAGCAGTAGCAGTAGCCGTAGCCGCAGCAGTAGCAGTAGCAGTAGCAGTAGCAGTAGCAGTAGCAGTAGCAGTAGCCGTAGCCGTAGCAGTAGCAGTAGCAGTAGCAGTAGCAGTAGCAGTAGCAGTAGCAGTAGCAGTAGCCGTAGCAGTAGCAGTAGCAGTAGCAGTAGCAGTAGCAGTAGCCGTAGCCGTAGCAGTAGCAGTAGTAGTAGTAGCCGTAGCAGTAGCAGTAGTAGTAGTAGTAGTAGTAGTAGTAGTAGTAGTAGTAGTAATCTCAGCCGTAAGTAGGGCTCAAGCTTGGGGTCTCGAGCTCAAGTGCTGAGGTTGCACCTTTCTCGTTTCAACAGCCATTGTGTGCTAGAAAGGGTGAGTTCAGCTCCTTGCGCAAACGTTCCCCTTGGCAAGGCTTTGTCAGAGCTGCAGGAACTGCAGGTGGCAGTGGCTGAACATAGAACTGCAGGCTGCCAGAGTCCCAGGGACGTAATAATGCAAGGAACTGCAGACTGCAAGGACTGCAGAAGACTGCAGCCTGCAGGTTCCAGGCGGGTATTTTTATCTTAGCGGGGAGGAATTCCAAGAAACCTCCTGCTACCGCGACAGGCCTTCGCAGCTTCGAATTTCGGAAGCGCCCGCTTCAGAAACTCCATGACTAGTTCATTGACAATCTGAACCTGCCCGTCGCGCTCTTGACAATTTGCGTTCGCGGCACTATCAACGGCTGTCAAAGCACGCGCCTGACCACCCTGTCGCGCGCTGCGACACAGCTGACCCCATGTCTCGAACGCCAAATCCCTCACAAGTCAGCTGGAGTTGACCCGAACTGAACTATTGACTGAGAGCTCATTGCCTGATGCCATCCTCCATGCAGAAATCAAAGACTGGAAGCAAGGCCTCGCAAAGTGAAAAAGATGTTGAAAACCAATGACACCTGCAGATCCGGGAACGGCCTTGGCTGTCTCTCCCACGAAAGGGGCATACGCGGCTGCGAGCTCTTCCACGAACCTCTGAGCTGACATGACTGACAACAACCTGTGAGTGCCTGGCATCCTTTACCACTGCAAGTCATCTTGAGGCGGGAACGTATGCACACACTCCAATGCTGCTTTCAGGTCCTGCAAGTTCATGCCACTGCTTCTACAAGGCAAGCACACCAATAGGGCTGCGTTATGGCGCTTGAACTGATCGACATGATGGTCCTGGATTTCGGATGAATACATGATCATAACCTTGACCTGCGTGTCAGATTACATCTCAAATCGTGAATCGACCGCCATGGGTGTATCACCGACGTCGAACCTGCCCATTTTCTTGCATCAGCGTCAGATTCACTTCATCGTTGTCATCGACCTCGTCCCCACCGGTGAACTCCTGCCGTAAGGTTTGGATACTTTGGATACTTTGGATATCGGACATGCTGGCGTGAAGCAAAATGACGTGGGCATGCATATGCGGAAGCACCCTCGGGGCCAGCGTGAACCTCTCCAGGACTCCAGGCCTAGGCATCAGAAAGCCACTGCCACGGTATCCCGAGCTGGACAGCTGGACGCAGCCCATATCCAACGTCCCATTCACGAGCTAAGCCATGCACAGAATGTGGGACACAAACGGCAGAAAATCTTGCTTCATCGTTGCCTTTCCAGCTCAATCGCAATATCTCTCACTCGTTGGGAACGGCTCGTCCGGCCATTCTCTTCTCTGGTTTACCTGCACCTCAAACCTGCCGATGACTTGCTCGATTCTGAGTCGGAGGCACAAATTCTCTCTGATGCGGCCATCATGTACTCCTGCAGCCACACATCACGAATGCAAACTAGCATAGTCTAAAAACCGCATCCTGGATGACTGAAGTTACTCAGTTGTACCGGTCATGTCAATGTGATGCCCCTACGCTTGCCACTCCTGGCTGGCCTGATTAGGGGCAAGCATGGTGGCAGCCGCTCATTCTGTTTGCTGCTCATCTGACTGACAAGACTTCGCTCCTTGACAGGATCGTTGTTGGGCAAGTTCGGCACCTTTGTGGCTTGGATCATAGCCTGGTCGGGTTGAAAGCGCAAAGCCAAGCGAAAAGGAATCTGCTGCATGAACTGGGTGCCTGCATGATCTGCTCGGCATCAGCACGGAATCCATTTCGGCCGACTGCCTGAATACCGCCGGCCCGGGGGTTGGGGGGCTCGTTGAGATTCAGAGCGCCTGAGATATAGGACAGGCGTTGCCGAACAATCATATTCTGGCAGCCCCGGAGTCAGTGAAGCTCACATAGCATGCACAGGAGCTTGTCAGCTGGATGATGATACAGTCGGATTTACGTAAACGCTAGTTTGCGTGAGGCACGCACTGCTTCCGCACCCTTCCGGAGAAATCACGCAGACAGGCGTTGCTGAAGTCTGCGATCTGAAAAAGTCGACGCAGCACATGTTCGTGCAACACATGGGCTTTCGGGCCATGTGTGTATGTATGTAAGTCAGTAGGTAGGTATGCATGCACGTATACATGTCTGCATGTCGGATCATGGAGGCATGTGAGGATGTAGGCATGTGTGCATGTAGGCAAGTGTGCATGTATGCATGTATGCATGTGTGCATGTTTGCATGTGTGCATGTGTGCACGTATGCATGTATGCATGTATGCATGTATGCACGGAAGCAAGCAAGCAAGCAAGCATGCATGCATGGTGTTGTATGTATGCACATCTATATCCTAATCAATATCTGTATACTTACTTTTATATAGATGCATATACGGATGTGTGTATGTTCACATATATACCTACATGTATATATATATATATACATATATACTTATTTATGTATTTGTTCAGAAGTATGTATACAACATATACATATGGACATGCACGGAACTATGGCGTATAAAATATTTACATGAGTATATATATATATATATATATATATGATGCAGGGCTGCCACACCCCCCCTCCCCCCCCCCCCACCCCATGGTATCCTCCCCCCTTCCCCCGCGCCCCCCCCTGTGGTATGGGGTCTGTGGTGGTACTTGTTTTGCCGCGACGTTCTTATGTGTTACTCCTTGTCTTCCCTCTTGCTGTGGCACCGGTGATACTGCTCATGATGTTGTGCTGCTCTAGACCGGGACGTGAGTCGACAATCAGACCATGCTCAACATCATCCTTGTCGTCGTCATCATCATTAATACCTTCCAAAGAATATCTGCCACCATCACCATCGAAATACAACCCTCATACAATTCTTCATTGCAATTCATGTCAGATGCTAGAAAGCCGCTTTCCGCACACGGCAGGGCATAGTGCCACACTCCCGATCCGCGCACAAGGTCAAGGGGTGCGGGCCGGGGGCGGGCCGGGGCGCAGGGCGGGTGGGCGTGAAGCAGGAGGGGAGGGGGGGGTGGGGGGGGATACCATTGGGGCATGTTTGCATCTTCAGAGATCCGCTTTGGCGAGGCTGTTATGACAGGGAGCCACCCCGGCTGCTGTGAGCCATGTGCTATTGCACATGTCGGTGAGAAACGCGCTGGCAGTCATAGCAGTGAACGGACCTGCCACGAATGGCCCGTCAATGATCCGAACCCGCTGTAGACTGCATGGTACGGCAGTAGAAATACAAATATCCAGTGGTCAAAGTATGCGAAGACATCTCGGACTGGATGATCGGCTCTTTTGAGTCATCGCATTGCCAGAAGGTCGGCTCCGCATCCGGAGGATATGTGCAGAGGAGGGCACGGTAGTGGCCGGAGGCTGCATTTGGACCCTCGTGTGAAATCACTGCAATCAGTTGATACTCGCAGTATCGGACAGTAAGGGCGGAGTCATGCGGAAGAGGGCGATGCTGAAAGCATGGTAGCAAGATGCGGGGATCCGGCAGCACACGCGTGACATCCTTGGCCCCATTGGCCGTGGTACTAAACCTGTTGACCTGCAAAACCAAAAGACTCGGCTCACTGTCCAGTGCAGTGAGACCAGCAGCTGCTTGATCCTTCCAGGCATGAATAAGTCGTTGTATCGTGAGTCTACTATCGGGACCACTGCGACACTGAGATGGAGGCATAGCAAGGAGCATGGGCCATGCGTCCCCACAGTCGCGCACCTGGCAGCGGGGATGGTTGTCATCTGCAATGAGAAGGCGGTTATGCCACCTGCCCAAGAGCAGGTCCGGAATGACAAACCTGCGACAGAAGACTAGATACTCAGCCACATCATGCTGAGAGTGTGGGCGGGTCCAGGAAGTATGAAGAAGCGACCACTGAAGGGAGGACCAAAGGTCTGGAGCAGGCACCTGTGTGACCATTCGCCGCACGACTGAATGCATGGCCTCAGACCATATCACCTGAGGACGGGCCATACAGGAGCATATCAATTGGTTGGCCCAATGAAGGCAGCACAGAACCGAATTAGCATAGCAGTGATTGGAGGAATTCGTGATGCGGAGTAGCGCAGGTGTCTGGACATAAAGGCAGTCTGAGTGCAGGACCCCTGCAGGCGACGGGCGAGCTCGGCTGCAAGGGCTGAGCGGCCCATCTTCTCTGGGCGCAAAGAGCCGCCCACCAGCTGCCAGATTGCAGAGTTGGCCAGCGATCGGAGGCTCAGATAGAGCTCGGCCGCTTCCGGCGACCGAAAACCCACCTGGAGGAGGAAGGGGACCGTGGGCCCCTGAAGTGGGCCGTTGAGGCGCTGGGTGGAATGGAAGCGCATGATGGCCAGAGGACAGAGACACTGCTTCTGGAGTAGTTGCAGCTTCTCGAGCATCTTGGAGACGTAGATGGGCTCCTGATCCTGACGGGGTACCAGAGCCTTGGTCTCGGGATTGTAGCTCAAGAAGGGTATGCGAATCTCCAGATCTCCCTCCTTCGGCAAGAACACCTGTAGGGTGGTAGCTGTCTTCAGCTGCTCCTCGTTCTTCACAGTATCCTTGATTCTCTTCACGAGGGTCTCCAGCATGGTATGCAGTAGGAAGGACCTCAGAGGCATTGCAATCTCGTCCATCTTCTCCTGCTTCTGCTCTTTCAGGGCGTGCCAGTGCTGAGATTTCTGCACGAACAGAGGAACCAGAGAGAGTGCACTCTCTTTCTTGAAGAACATGACAAAGCCGTTCTGAGTCCTGTCTATGCCCATTTGGTCCTCGTGGCGAAGAAGGAGTTTGCCCAGCAGCCACATCATTCCCTCCGGGGCTCTGGTGTCTGCCTCTGTCGATCTGCGAATCGGCTGTCTGCGAGGGCCTGGGTTCTTGGGTTGGCCCTGCTGGTTGCCCTTTCCTCGCCCTCCCCGGCCGAAACCACCCTTGGATTCCGGTCTGGCCCATTTCGTGTCCCGCCCCTTCTCTTGGTCCTCCGCATCCTCCATCTCGTGGCGTTTGTTCGCCACGTCCAGCTCCATCCCCATGCCCATGGCTCCCTCGCCCCAACACTGGAGGAGCTGCAGCTCTGCCTGAACCTCCTGTCTCTGTGCCTCCTGAAGAGAGAGACTGGTGCCCAGAGCCTGTGCAGAGGCCAAGCTCATGACGGACAAGAAGGCGAAGGGTGATAGTTTGCTGCAGAACGGGGCACGCGGCAACGTGTTGGGTCTTAAAGGAGACCGTGAGCCTGCACCAGCTACAGGGGGAGCGGGCTGCTGCTGTGCGCGCTGTGAGCCAGTCAGCTCGCAGGGATTCAAGAATCGCAGGAAGCGGGTGCTGACGCTTCAGATGACGGAAGATATCCTGCGTGCGAGTGAACCACTGATGACAAACAGGGCAGTGCTTCAACCCTGGGCCGGTATGCATGGAGCGAAGTTGGCGAGCCAGGGGCTGCCAGTCGTCCTGAAGAGCCAGAGCACGAATGTCAGGTCGTTGAAGGAGCGGCAGTGTATCCGAGTGGGCGACCGTGGGAGAGGAGGCAACAGCCTGTGCTGGTGGGACTGCAGGAAGCTCGGAGCGATCAACACCCACGGCCGTGACAGAGGAGGAGGCAGCAGGCGCAGCAGGGTTCTTGATCAGGGAGTCGTCGTGAACCTGAGCTGGGCAGGAATTGGTGTAGTGATGGTTAAGAAAGGGTGGCCAGGCAGCAAACTTCCTGTTGCACAGAGTGCAGTGGGGCATCCCGTCCTTAGCAAAGTGCATGAAGCGTGCTCGTAGCTGCTGTTGCGAAGGAGGTCGAGAGTAAGAAACACCTTCACCAGTGGAGGGGACCAAGGTGGCGGCCGCGTTACCAGGAGATGTCGTGGTCTCGGTCGAGACGTGTGGAGCATCAGGCTCGGCAGGAGGTGCGACAACTTGGTCTGATGATGGCCCATGCGATTTGGTGCAGTGGGTTCGAAGGGCAATCAGAGTGGGAAAGGTTTGCGGGCAGTGAGGGCATGCATAGGTGCGCGTAACGATGCCCGAAACATCCATAAGGCTGCAGCGAGAGGTCTCTTGTCCAGGCTGTGTGGTAGAAGACGAAGGGGCAGATGTGGCCGACACAAAGGACGCAGGAAGAGCAGCCCTCCAATGCAGTCGTTCAGGGGTGTCGAAGGCCTCAATGCTGAGGGAGGGACGAGACTGACGCGATTGCAGCTGCCAGGATAGCTGGACAATGGGGTCCTGGAAGCGGAACCTGGCATAAAGGTCAGCAGTGGTTTCATGAGTGATCCAGCTTGGGGCTTTGAGCACCATGCGGACCTGCTTGGCCACTACTTGGCGAATGAGATCAGGGCCTCGAGGAGGCAGGCCAGTACTGGTGAGGCCGTATCTCAGCGTGGAGAACACACAAGCAGTCCAGAGCTGCAAGCGCTGAGTGGGCAGGATGTGCTTGGATCTGAGCAGAGAGAAGAGGCGACTGAAGTTGGCCCAACTCTGCTTGATCCTGGTTTGGAGAGAGAGCTTCTCGAAACAGTCGTAGCTTAACACTATACCCAGGTAGGGATGCTGCTTGCGAAAGGGCAGATCTAATGGTCCAGTGGCACACATCACTCGAAGACAGGGGCCCTTGTCCTTATGGCGCTGTAGAAGAGGACGCAGAAGTCTAGACTTGGCGGGGCCTCGGAGACCATCGAGGATCACTGTTTTGGAGTCACTCACTGACATGCCAAGGGAGGTCAGGGTGTCAATGATGAAAGCGATGTCCTGTAAAATGCGAAGAATGTCTTCAGGCTC